GTGTTGAAAGTGAGAAACTCAGTGGAAGGCCTGTTTTTGTGCCTGCAAATGTGAAAGCCATCCATGATATGATTATGGAGGACCGCCGTATATCAGCCAAAAGTATTGCTATATATCTGAGAATATCACGTGAGAGAGTTGGTGCCATTATCCACAAGGACTTGGAAATGAGAAAGCTGGCAGCAAAATGGATCCCCAAACTTTTGACAACCAAACAAAAGAGGAAATGTGTGGCTGTTTTGGAACAGTTTTCAAGAAATGAGTCAGATTTCCTTGGAAAACTGGTAACTGGTGATGAGACATGGATCTACTGTTATGATCCTGAGACAAAGGAACAGTCTAAGGAATGGAGGTACAGTTGTTCCCCCAGGCCAAAGAAGTTCTGAATGCAAAGGTCAGTGCAGAAGCAAATGGAAACAGTTTTTTGGGATAAGAAGGGAGTTCTGCTGGTGGAGTACCTCCATCAGGGTTCAACCATCAATGCAAAATATTACTGTGCTTTATTGATGAAGCTGAGGCAAAACATCAAGGAAAGATGTATTCGTGAAGGTTTCACGGCTGGGATCTAATGGGTGTTGTGGGTTTTCAGGCTCTTTGACTGTGTTCTGAAGGTTGTTCTTCCTAACGTTTCGCCAGTCTGTGTGGCCGGCATCTTCAGAACATGGCCAAAGAGCCCGAAAAACCCACAACAACCATCAAGGAAAGACTTGAGGAAAGCTCTCCATCCTGTTGCATGACAACGCATTGTCACACCCTACAGGTGAAACAATGGCAAAACTGATGTCCTTAGGCTTTCAAGTAATGCCCCATCCACCCTATTCTCCCGACCTGGTTCCTTCTGACTATTATCTGTTCCCCAAACTCAAAAAACACTTAAACAGACAACGATTTGGGAGTGTTCTGGAGGCAACTAATGTCGCAAATGAGTGGTTACACCAGCAGTCAGAAGAATTTTATTTGTAGGGACTTAAGAAGCTGCAGGACAGATGTCGCAAGTGCATTGACTTCCTGGGGGAATATGTAGAATAGTGTGGCAATTCCAGCTTCCTCGCTCAATTTTTTTCTGGGAATGGCTAAATACTTACCATCACGCCCTCGTAACTCACACCACAAGCACACAACCAAAACACATATACAGATAACTAGGGTGAAGGAGGAGACACAGGATGAAATTGGCTGGCTGGAGGGAGGAAGAGAGAGGTGGCAGCACCAACAGCTCAGCTACAGCATCCCACCTTCACTGTGGCCGCTCTTCTCAGCAGAGTGGGTGCAGACCTTCCTTCATGTCCTGCTACACTCCAGGCCATAACACTGTGGCTTCACCACCCATCAGCTGGGTGGAGCAGCACCTGCTCAGCCACAGCAGTCTGGCTTCACTGCTGCCACTCCCCTGGGCTGGCTCTTGTTGCTGCTCCTGCCTCTCCCACCACGTCTCCTGCTTCTGCTTTCTCCTCTTCCTGTTTCTGCTGCCAATGGTCCTCCTCCTCTCCAACCCTGCTCTCCCATCTTGCTGGCAAAGATGCAATTTACACCAACAGAGGGGTCTACATATTCCAAAACAATTGAAATAATTTGGTTTCACAAGCGATTTTAAATCAACAACCCTCTGTCGGAAGAGCATTTTACCTCTCTTTCCAACTAAAACCATGCTTCCCAGACCCCCCCCCCCAATCCATTTTTCCATTTACATCATGGTGATACCTTAGATTAAACTGAGTTCTTTTAAAGAAAACCCCATTCAACAGTGGTTCTTACTGTCAGGGAGACTGAGCTCTAAGACTCTCACTCCACTCTATAAATGTCCAGCAGTACATCGTTATAAAGGTACCCAGTGTAGTGTAGTGGCTAGAGGAAGGAACCAGGACTCAGGAGACCTGGGCTCAATTCTCTAGCTCTGGTACGGAAATTCACTGTGTGTGTGTTGAACTGGCAAAACCACTTCTAGGAACAACCTCACTTATCTTGAAAACCCTATTGGAGCCACTGTTCTGACTTGACATCACATAGCACAATAAGGAATAGCTAAAAAGAAGAGATCTGGCCTAGAGATCTTATTTCTAATGCTCCTGATATTTTTGCTGTTCATAGATAACTGACATACTAAGATCCACTTGTCAATTTTATTTGCTAAAATATAGTTTCCTAACATTACATATTATGGTGGAGCAACAAACAAGATGTTTCTGCCAACCAAAAATGTACGGCAGATCGATTCTTCCCCGAGCTCAGTCAGTTTCAAAGACATGAAGGGGCATAATGTCAGTCTTTGATCTACATGGCAAACAGAAACCTAAAAGCATTACCTTACATGAATCATCTTGAAGAGAGAATAACATTCTTGGATCAATCTCTTCCACTTCTGGCAAGAACAGAATATACACTTAATTTATACTAATATGTGCTATTTATATGTCTGTTATTTTTATTCTGTTGCTTCAGTGAAGGAACTGTGGGGATATAGATAAATAGCAGAGATGGGCACAAACTGCTGTTTCATCCATCAGTCCAACAGGTGTTCATGGTTCTGAGTCCTGCTTCCTCTGGCAGGCACCCACTCAGAGGCAGCACCCAGAGAAGGCAGGGCATGGAAGCTGAGGTGCTGCTTCTGAGTGGGCAGAGAGAGAGAGAGAGAGATATCCCATATGTATACAGTCATGCCCCACTTAACGATTAACCCCCTATAACGACAAATCCGCTTCACAACGATGTTTTTGCGATCACAATTGTGATCGAAAAAAGCTGTTTTAATGTTTTTTTTTCGCTTTGCGACAATCGGTTCCCTGCTTCGGGAACCAATTCTTCGCATTACGATGATCAAAACAGCTGATCGTTGGGTTTTCAAAATGGCCGCCAGCTGCTCAAAATGGCTCCCCGATGTTTATTGGGTTTTCAAAATGGCCGCCAGCTGCTCAAAATGGCTCCCTGATGTTTATAGGAGGCATTTTTTGCAAGTCAGGCACCCGAAAATGGCCGCCGTATGGAGGATGTTCACTGGACGATTAGGTATTTCGCTCATGGGAACGCAGTAACCATTTTTAATGTTTCAATGGGTTTTTAAATTTCGTTTGACGACGTTTTTGCTCTACAGCAATTTCGCTGGAACGAATTAACGTCGTCAAGCGAGGCACCACTCTGGAAGTATGGTACCCTGCTATGACTCTATGACTCCTGGAAGAAGAGCCAGCCTTCTGCAGCCTTGGGCAAGCTGCACAGCCCCAGAGTGCCCCAGAAGAACGGAAGAGTGAACCACTTTTGAGTACTCATTATCTAGAAAGCCCTGTGAAGGGTCACCATAAGTCTGGATTGACTTGACATCACACACCTGTTATTAAAAACATTTCAAGAAAACTTAATATGAAGTCAGTTATCAAATGAATATTTTAAAAATGCTGCAAAGTAACTATTTATTTGATTTCAGGTAAAAACCCATGGGGAGTTCACAGAGGCTGTAGTTTCAGTCAGGCTCAACCTTCTGAAGAATGTTCAAGGTCACCATTGCTATGGTGCAAAATAAAAGTGACTTTTAAAATCCTACTTTCACTATGGTAAGCATTTTATACTAACACACCAGCCACCTCATGGTTACCAAGATGTATCTCAAAGTTGAGGGTGGAAATCACACAGTCTCCCTTTGTCTTTGTTATCCAGTGTTGTAAAGTACAGTTTGGGTCATATGTAGTTCACATCATCATGCCTCCACTCCACTGTTGGCCATTTAATGGTCCTGTTTCCTTTTGCTACTCACTTGTCTCCAGTTGTTGCCAGCATCGGATGAAACAAACATGCTGATATCATTATCGGACAACTCCGTCCCGATGTTACCTATTGAGAAAAGAATTATTACATGAAATGGCCTCTTAACAGTGGGGGAAGGGAATCTAAAGACAAGAGTGCTTCTCCTTTTATTTGTCTTGACATTTTACTCATTTGGTGATGTTTATATTCATCAATTCAATGTGAAACAAGAACACACTACCATTTTTTCTCTTTTATAAGAGTAAACAGCATCTGTTTAGCACTTTAAATGTGAAACCTTCATTTGCATACTATCTTCCTGTGATGCTTACAGCAAATTTGTAAAGCAGACCAGTGTTCTTACTGATGAGGAGGAGGAAGAAAAGTGAAATGCCTTGACTCAAAACCTCTAGAGCTCAAAACTGAACTTTGAACCAGGGATTTTCTGGCTTGTAGCTTGGGTCTGTTGACCGTTTTCCACATCATCCCCTCAAATACAGTTTGGATTCTCTCTTACTGTTTTTTGAAAATGGCATGCGATTACATATAGCATTGGAGCATAACCTACCAGAAGCCACAATGATGCCTGGAGCTGTATCCCGACTGGCAATGTTGCCTGAAGTGTATGGATTCTCTGAAACCTTCAGGTGGAGATGTAGAGAACAGTAGGGCTTGAAAGAAGAAAGAGAGATCCATCAAGATGGCATGCATCAGATAAGTTAAAGGAAGCCCTTCTGCATGCATAAGTTAATAATTGCTGGATTTTTCTGTGGTAGGATAGTATTATGCTTCTGTATGGGCTTTTGTAAGATATAACATGTTCCTACATGAGAGGTCTACCTAACTCTCTCAGATATAATGGAGGGGAGGAAAATGACAAAGTTTGGTGGCAGTTGATGGCCAAGTCATGGAACAAGGAACAGGGAGGACTCTCAGTTACGTGTCCTGTTTTTGCATTTTCTTGGCATATGCGGTTGCAAAAGCTGAAAATGATGTAACACAGACTGGCCGTTCCTAAATACAAGGAACCATTCTGATTTTAGAGCCAGCTGAAGTCAAGGAAATGTAAATTGCAACTGTGTATCATGAAGCCTTTAATCTGCTGATAGACATCTATAATATCTGGTAAATGCTCACCAGAGAGCAGCAAGATCTTGGCAATGTGCTGCTTCCAACAATTGATAAGAATTCACTTTTTAAAAACTATGTTTTCTTCAGGGGTGGAGAAAATTCAGGAGATCCAGGAGCCATACTTGTGGCTCCATATATTGTGTCCCACTACTGTCATCACCAACAACATTGGATAGACACATACAAAGCAAGGTTGAAATAATCAAAGGTGAAGAAATGAGAAAGTGTGAAAGCGAGGATGTAACATCTTGACACCCCCAAGAAGTCCAGGATACGTTAAGCCCCCACCTGTTTCCATATCTTTTGGATTCATATTGAGCTAGTTAGTCCATCAATGTGCCACTGCTCAGTCTTGACCACCCTCTTCATCCTTCCCTCCTTCCCCTAAATGGCGAATCTGAAACTGATGGAGATGGTCTTCTTCAATAACAAACAATGAACTAAGATAGAATAAGGATGGTCAATCTTGTGGGTTTGTGGGCCAAATTCTTGGGCTCTACCCAGTCTAGAAATAGCCATTAAAAAAATTTAACAGGATTGTTGAAGGGAGTTTGGCTTCTAAGCTTCCAAAAGCAGAAGCTTTTTTTTAATGAGCCACATATTGCCCATGAAAGTGCATATACAACATCAAGCAGAACCTATGGCCTTTTGTTGCCTGCATTGAAATGTAAAGTAGCATCCCTATCCCAGCATTCAGTGGAAAGTCTAGGTGATTAGAAATTCTCCACTGTCATTAAGGGAGAAGGCTACCTTCAGTGATGCAGCCCACATGACATATCCAGATCTACGAGGATACATCTCACTGCTCCTCACTCCTAGCATCAGCTGGTACCTGCTAGTTCCTCACTCAAGCAAACATTACTGAAGCAGGAGAACGAGGTAAACTGAATATGCAAAACAGTGTGTGTGTGTGTGTGTGTGTGTGTGTGTGTGTGAGAGAGAGAGAGAGAGAGAGAGAGAGAGAGAGAGATTTCATGGAATATCTTCTAGAGATTCTACCCTGAACAGGCCACTAATCTCTCTCCTCCTTCAGCCAACAAACTTCATTTTCTCAATGGTACTGTTGATTGTAGATAGGGAGAAGACAGCTAGATAAAGCAGCCTATCCATGGCTGCTTTGGGTGGGTAGGAATGTCACCAGTGACCACTGCATCCATGACTAATACAACTGCTTCGCTTCTTCTAATACTGGGTTCCAAACTTGATTCATCAAAATGTGCTTAGAATTTACGATGAACAGAGATGACTAATCAGACCTAATGTTTTCCTTCTTCTTGTTAGAGGGTTTCGTGTGTTTTTTTCCCCAAGAAGCAGGCAACATTTATCTTTCTACAAGCACGACATCACAGGTAAAGGTTGTAAATAACTAAATGCAATCTCTAACATGTCTTTGTGAGGATACTTAGAGTATGTGGTAGGAAAAGGAAGGCAGCCAAAGCAAATAATAAAACAAGGGCATCTTCTCTTTACTCTTCAAGTTCGGGGTCATAACAATCTCCAAAAGCTAACCTAATCCCTCAGAGAGCAATAGAGTCCCAGTAGTTACACACAGAGAAGGCTGACCAAGGATACTTTTTTGCCTGCTATTTACTCAGCTAATGAATTCCTGCAAAACTGCAGGAAGGCAGATTTTTATTAAATGCCAGCAAACATAGAATCATATGATCCATTCAACTGCCTGCACAACCCAAGGTGAGGTAGGAGAAGAACAGAAGACTCTCTCCCCAAACATTTATACCTTTGAGGGACAATGTCAGCTCCCAAAGTCAGAATGGGATAGTTGCCCTGAGAGATGGGAGGTGAGCTCTCGCTGATATGACAAAGACAGACAGAAATGAATGAACAGGCGTGCTGCTAGACAAGAACAATACACACTAACAGCAACTGACAGCCTTGGAAGGGTCACATTTTGCAGCAATCCATCTGGGGATGACAGGAAGCAAGACAACTGGGCTGAAGTACATTTTGAAAGAGGGGGAAGGGCCTTGAGTTCCTCAATTAATATTATCTGTTCTGAATGTCCAGCTGGGGAACATATTCTCTAAAACCCAAACTGACAAACGACCTGGTAGCACCTGTCAACTATTAGCAAATTACTGTAATTTTCAGTTGAACTGAGGAAAGTTATCCTCTCTCCTCATTCTCTTTCTTTTTGCATTTTAATACTATCAGATTACATGGTCTAATATTTCTCCTGTGTTTTATGTTTCTAGCACTCAACAAAATGCCAAGAGATGAAAGGAAGTTTGATGCAGTTCTCCCCTAATTCTAGAACAGCTACAAAATAAGCTGGTAAGCTTTTATCCAGTAGGTTTTACCTCCTCTTCTCTCTCAGTCCTAAAGGAATTACCTCCCTACCTCCACCACCTTACCTGAACCCTGACATTTAAGGGATTCCTATGAATAGTTATAACTGTGTGTGTATGTTCGAAGATGGAGGATTGAAATAAGAAAGGGGAATATTTTTCCTTTATTTTCTAAAAATTAACTGGGCAGTAGGTAACTGAGTATTGTATGGCTACACTATGTTGCCCGCTTTCCCTCCAACCATACCATTTTTGGAACAGTTCGATAGTGGCAAACGAAAAGAATTCGAGGAGTTCAGAGTCTACCCTCTTTGTTTCTCTAACAAGTACTTATGAGGGCCACAAGGTGGCAGACAAATCCCTATAGGCTTAGGGAGAAACTGCAGCTTGCAGACCAGTTAGGTAACAGAATTCAGGATGAAAAGAAGTGGATGCTTTGCAAGGTTGTAATCTATGTGATTCTTACTCATGAGGAGTCATAGTACCATTTCTGCAAGTACTTATACTTACAAGCAATGTGATTCTTACTCATGAGGAGTCATAGTACAGTACCATTTCTGCAAGTACTTATGCTTACAAGCAAGAACGTGCAAGACATTCCACCATTTATACTTCGTTTTCAAAGTCCGTCTAGCGTACAGAAATAACCCTAGGGCACTTGCTTTGGTCACTGATGTTCGCACCTACTCAGATAAATCCAGGTGCACTTCTTGAGAGACCCCAGGATTGGGTAAAATTTCTACTGTAAGTGCAGAAACAGTTGAGATGCCACTTTGACAATTAGAAGGTGATAAAGCAGTTTTCCTTCAAAGACACATTTTTTTTCAACACTTACATATATGCATGATCAACTGGGAAACAGATGTCTCATCAAGCAAGCCCTGAATAATTTGCAGGTTACAGAGATGCAAAACTCTTAATAAAGATTCCAGATAGCTTTGTCATGAAGCTGCAGCCACTTCTATTTCTGGCATAAGTTAGAAATTGGTCTCATTTAATAATGGATTTCCCAGGAGAAGAAGAAAAGTCCAGGTGGTTGACATAAATGAGATAGGTGTGTCAGAAAAGATGTGGGTAGAATGCACAAGTGGAATATGCACAAGTGTATGAATTTATGTGTAGAAAAGGACCATGAAGTTGATGAACCTCCCAAGATACTGTCACCTATCTCACAGGAACTATTGTTGGAAAAAGAAATTACAAAGAGAGATCTGAATGGGTTATATCCATAAATTCAGCAGTGCATCTAGAGGCTGAAGCAGAAGCTAGGGCTTTTAGTATACTATATATCTTTACAGCCTAGTTTTCTGTACAGTCTTGTGTACAGCTGAAATGTTATTCTCTTGTAAAACTCAGCACAAGGAACTCCTTCTGGAAAATAAAAGTAATTGCATCAGTGCTTCCAACAGTCTAGCATTGTACACCAGCTAAAAGAAAATTTCCATTAACTTTAAAAGTGTTCATTACCTGTATCTGTGTCCCATTTCCCACTGCCATAGTCATGAACACTATGCACACAAACTTTTATGTGCAAACCAGTAGCCTAACTATTATATTACATGTTTCAATGGAATAGTGTGAAATCCACAAAACCTCTCACTTAAATAAATGTTAATTTTAAAGCTGAGACAATACTTTCTTTTGTTTTTTAAATTCTTTTTATAGATGCTGAAACAAACTAACATGCCTGCCTATGTAAAAAATCTTGTCACCTAATATAGCAAATGCTGCTAAAGATGAATGCACCAGGAAAAACTTCACCGATATGAACGTTTTTCTTTTTAGCATCCTATACTAGAACTGCCACAAACTCCTGTAATGAAGCTATATGTTATGTAGATGGAGATGACGGGGGAACTCTAAGAAGGTGCATTGATTTTTAATAGGCCATGCCACTGTATAGTCAGAAAAACTTCCTCAACTGCTCATTCCCATCAGTCCCACAAACCATCACTTACCAAAAGGCAATGAACTGGGTTTCCTCTCAGATCTGTGTCTGGGGCCTGCAGCAAATGCCAGTCTCTGCCTTTATTGTAGGTGATGAAAGTTTTCACTTGGTTGTCAATCTTCTTGTTAGCCAAGAACATTCCCTTTATGCCTGCTACCTAGGAAAAATTGACATGGCTGAAAAACAGATAAATTAGACACAGATTGTGTGTGCATTCTTACCTGTCAAATCCAGCTTTGGGATATGGTGTATAGCATGAGTATACAGCAGACACTAAGATTTAAAAAAAGGCAATGAAATCTTCATTTTCCATCACCTACTAAAAAGTGTAAATGGCATCACTGTAGATTCAATATTCAGACACTATAGTGGAGGGCTTCTGCTCATGAAGCAGTCAAGGTGATGTGCACATTTAAAACAATAAAAACAGTTAAGATTCATTGGGCATTCTTTATGTGAGTACAATGAGTTTCAAACAATGACTGAAAAAAGTCTTTCCCAGTAAGTTTTGGACATCCAGATCAACAGCCTTGTAGGAGAAGACCAAAAGGCCACTACCATTCTACAGAATGGTCAACCCACAAGCAATATGCCAACCCTGCTATTCTCCCTTCCTTTCTCCTACCTAGCAGTGGAAGGATACTGCCTCTGTCTATAGAAGTTCCTTGACCTTCACGGTTTTCATTGGCCATTCATAAACCTGCCCTTCACAATTCTGCCTAGCTGCTTTTTAAGACCACCTAGGATACAACCGCGGTTCAAATCACATCTTGCCCCTTCTCATTCTTGTTTCTGAAATAGCTATTGTGTTATCACCAGCTGTCCGAGGCCTACAGCACAAACTGATGAGATGGAAAGAGCGACATGTTAAAAAGCTTCAGAATTACTCCAGAGATGAAGTTTTACATGTTTGGAAAAGGACAATTGGTTAAGCTCTAAATAAAACTGAATGGGATGCAAGAAGCAGTTTGAAAAACACTTTGCTTTGTCAAACAAGCTTGGCTTCCTCCATCTGCTGAAAATCAATAACACAATATCTACAGCAGCATGAGACACACTCTGTCATTGTTCCAATTGCTGGTTTTGCAGCAGGACAAAGGGGGAGGAGGGAGGGAACTTTTGTCTTCCAGCAGGGTGCTTCTGGCTCCCAGATCTAGCACAGATGCCTTGGAAAGGGCATACAAGAACTGTCTCAGAATGTCACCCATGAGGCCTTTTTCCTCTCAGGTGTTATTGTTTAATTGGCATCCAACTGCAAAGTATTGTAGTGGTAGGGAAAGTTACTTGAGTTTTCAACTTACATCGTTAACAACTAACTCAAGAAAGAGCGCGGATAGAAGCTGAAAATGAGGACAGTTGCTTTCTTAACACGTGTGGCAGGCTGTGGAGAGACGGGAGGTGCACAAAGGTTTCTGTTTGATGCGTAACGCTGTTGGGAACCAACTGATGTTATAATTTGTATGTGGAGGGCATCCATGGCTAAGTGATTTAACTGCATAGTCCTGGATAAAGTTTTGGATCACAGCCAAGACAGGGGGTGGTGGTGGTGGAACAGTAGCAAGTTTGTCTTAGTGATTTCTCTGTTCCCAAAGAGACGTGAACACACAGATCTATAGGTTTATCAACTACGTGTCAAGCGGTGCCAGAGAGGACCATTGCATACTCACCACAGAAAGAAGAAATTATATTCAAGAGCTTCTAATGTGACTATACAGTACTATATTCCCTTGGATTTCCTCCCTAGTTTAAAAAACTGCACATTTTAAAACTTTTTGAGTTGGTTTCTTCCTCTCTTGGAAGAATGCAGATTGGATACGCTTAGCTTTATGCAGGTATTTACCTGCTACACAAATAGGTCAAAAGTGGGGAGGGAACATGGGGGAGCACCCACACATATACCATATCAAATGTCTCCATGCTTTCAGCTATCTTAGACATCTTGGCATGAAGATCAGAAAGGGACTTTGTAACCTTGTTTGGCCACGCATATCTGACAGACCTATCACAGCTGAGAATTAAAATTTGTTTCCTAAGGTTTCCTGCTCGTGGGAGTTTTGTATTTATTTATTTTATTTTATTTTATTTACTTAAAATATTTTTACCCCACTTTTCTCCCTGAAAAGGACCCAAGGCGGCTTACAACACTGAAAGACAATATTTAAAGTTTAAAAGCCTCTCTCCTGTGTCCCCCATCAGGTGCACCTGTGAAGGTGGCAGGACTGAGAGAAAGGCCTCTCCTGATGGTCTTAACATCTGAGCTGGCTCATAGTGGGAGATACGGTCTTTGAAATAGCTTGGACCCAAGCCATTTAGGGCTTTCTAGATTAAAACCTGCACTTTCAATTGTGCCCGGAAACTGACTGGCAGCCAGTGGAGCTGCTATAATGGGGGTTATGTGATCCCTGTAACCAACCCCAGTCAGCAGTTTGGCTGCTCTATTTTGGAACTGCTGAGTTTCCACTGGCACTTTCCACTGGCAGCCCCATATGTTTCCTGACACTTTCCACTGGCAGCCCCATACAGAGTGTGTTATCCAGCTGGGAAGTAAATATGACAGTGGCCAGATCAGATCTCTCAAGATAGAGACATAGCTGGTGCAGTAAGTTTTAATTGTGCAAATGCACTCCTGGCCACCACCGAGACCTGGGCATCCAGGTTCAGGGATGAATCCAGAGCACCCTCAAGCTGCGCACCTCTGTATTCAGGGGGAGTGTAATCCCACCCAGTACAGGCTACATCTCTATTCCTTGATCTGCCTTGTAAGTGCACTCAGATGGATGTGCCTACTAAACCTTTTTCAAATTGTCATGCTAAATGGATCAAAATTTCTGAGAAAGCACAGGATGACCAGGTGTAGGGCTTGTGTCCCACACCTAGTAATTCTGGGCATTCCCCTCAGCATTCAGACCTATGGGTACTGCAGGTAAATTCCTTCGCAGTCCTAAAAGTCAGAAAAAAAGAATTTTGGGGTGCACTGTATCGATTTGAATAGCTCTAGAGAAACACTTTTTGAGTTATCTATGACTCTTTTACTGTGATTTCCCTGTCTGATATGCAGCAAGTTCTTGTTTTCCACACATTCAGATAACTGATGAAAAAAAAAGCATTCCTTACATTTGTGTGTATCAGGTTTCTAGTTAAGGTCAAAGACCCATTTTTCCTATTCACAAATTGAATGGAGAATGTAGAGAGGCCTTTAGTATGCAGCTCTTTTCAACAGAAAAATTAGATTATACAATTGCATTAGATGCTAAACAGCACACACGATTCTGCACTTATTTGTATTATATAATCACTGCTTAAAACGTGAAGGTGAAAGTAAATTAGCAACAGGTGACATTATCGTTTTTCCCCACCTTCAGGACATTTGGTTTTGAAAAAGGAAAACAAAGAATGTGTTGGTGAAATTTATCAGAGTTCTATAGGTATAAAGGTCTATTTGAAAGAGCAGTTTTAACCCTAAATTACCATTTCCAAATATAGGAAAGCTGCACATAAGTGATATTCCATAAAATGCGCACATGTACAGTAAACATCCTAATCTTATATATTCTAAAAAGAAAAACAAAAGAGTTGTGGTGTCTTACAGGCAAAGGCTAGTATTCTGTCACCTAAACATGGATTGGAAGGAAAATTACATACATATCTCTCCTAATCCAGCAGGTTTTCGGTGTATAACCAGCTACATGACCAATCTCACAACCAGTGCCTGCTGAAGTATGCAGCAGAAAGCCTGCTGAAGCTTGAGGTTGGGAAGAGGAGAAAGATTACATGATTTCCCTTCCAATCCATGTTTAGGCAACAGGATGCTAACACCAGATTTCTTTCAGTGTGAGTTTATGTGGGTTACAAACCACTTATTCAGGCATAAAAGCAAGTGTTTGAGGAAGTAATTGCAATCTGTGGAAACTCACACTAAAATAAACCAGTTAATCTTTAAAGGGTCACAACTTTTGTTTTCATATATCCTATACATGCTGAAACAGACTAGTGTGACTGTCTCTTTGAGAACTGTCCCAATATTAATTGAACTATATGATCCCTATAGTTAGATATCGTTTGATCATTATGGAAGGCAAATGCTATGCCACCTAGTGACAGATGCAGTGAAGAGGTAGCAAGTTGAGTTCCTAAATTAAAGTCATGATTACTGATTTGTACTATGCAAAAATTGTTTGTTCTAGTGAAGAAAATCATGCCTAGATTATACTGAAACATCCAGAGTTTTAAAGAACCACTTTTAGGTGGTTAGTAGGGTGATGGTAGGATTAGGAAAATTGCAGTTTCAATCATCATGGAGCAGTAGTTCAGTGGCCATCACTCACAATATTCAGAAAATGATGCAGTAGCTTGTTCTAGTCCTATATTGGCTCTTTGCAGGGAAGGAAGAACTGATCATAAACAAAAGTCCCATGGCAGTTGAAGGAAAAGGAGAAAGTGGAAGATCTTACACTGACAATTATCAGTAAATTTCTCTAGTTTAGATAGAGTTTCCTACAGGACCACTCAATCCCACTTTAGCTATATCACTCTACCTAAAGCAGTGGCTCCCAAACTGTGGATCTCTAGCTGTTCATGGCCTACAACTCCCAGAATGCCTTATACTTGGCTATGATACATTGGGCTTGTGGAAGACCAACAACATCCAGGAATTGTTGTGGGTTTTTCAGGCTCTTTGGTCGTGTTCTGAAGGTTGTTTTTCCTAACGTTCTTCAGATGCCAGCCACAAAGACTGGTGAAACGTTAAGAACAACCTACAGAACACAGCCAAAGAGCCCAAAAACCCCACAACAATCATAAGATCTCGGCTATGAAAGCCTTCACAAATACAACATCCAGGGACTCAAAGTTAAAAACTACTGATCCAAATCAAAAACCCACAACAATCATTAGATCTCGGCTATGAAAGTCTTCGCAAATACAACATCCAGGGACTCAAGGTTAAAAACTACTGATCCAAATATATCCTTCTGTAACTACATTACTTGTTCTGTGTGGAAAGTTACTATGTTCTAAATTGCCAAGAATAAAGGACAAGTCCTAAAAGCACAATATTGAAATGTGAATAAGTGGCACATTTTGAGTTTGTTCCCACAATTGTTTGTCACAACAGGTAATCAATTCATGGCCTTAGAGCAACAGCAGAGAACACATAGCCCTACAAATGCTGTCCGACTGCAGTTTTCATCAGTCCTTCAATAATATATGGAAGGCTACAAATTCCCTGTCTGAAGGGACCAAAATTTCTGGGTGAGCATCCTGACTATTTTATTAGAACTTTAGAAAAAATATTACTCATCACTTTTGCCACACATGCTGTATTGGATTCCCACCCACCTACCCCAACCTCCATCAAATTTGCACTTCTTTTTTATTTTTCAATGGAATCCACCACCACCACTCCAGAGCATATTTCATGTGTTCGTCAAGTTCATTTTCCCCTAAGCCACTGATCATTTACAGCAGTCCCACTGGGGGACTTGCGCTGGATGGCTTTCAGCACACTCCCAGGCAAAACAATCAGATTGAATGGAATGCTATGTGCAAGCCTTGGTGTCAGCCAATATTGTTTCTATCTAGGCAATCAGCAGATACGACATGACCAGTCTGATCACATCAGTTTCAGTCCAGAGTGCTATGAACTGTCAGCCTAATAATACAAAAGCTTTTTGTTCACTACTTCCTCCTCCCTGTTCTGCCTTGGGATGCAGCACACCTTTACATAAAACTGTGAAACCAATCATTAACCTGATTGTAATAGGAGGTAACAATCTGCCAAAGCACTAGAGGGATTAATGCATTGTTCTAAAAGAAATCCTCCTCTGTGTGATCAGGAAATCGCATGGGTTCTCACAATCTCGTCTGGATTTAAACACTGGCCATTCACACTTTCATTTTCTACGTGGCTGTCTCAAGGTGCTCTCCAAATGCTGAAAGTCAAGTGTCAATGTCAAAGCCAATTCACCTGATATCAATGACATTCAGGTGGACAGTACAGGGAGATCTCTTGATCGATGGATATAGTGTCTCTGCAGCTTTTGACTACAGAGCAGGAGTGGCCAAGTACCCGCTAGCAGACTTTATTCCTCCCTTGATATTATTTTATCACACTCCTGATGGTCCTAATCCAAACTAATTCAAATGTCTATCCCAGAGCCATCCCTAAGTAAAGGTCCTAATCCAAACTAATTCAAATGTCTGTCCCAGAGCCATCCCTAAGTAAAAAGATAACTCTGTTTTCAGCCTCTCAAATGAGATGCTCAAGGATTTATTTTCTCTGCATTTTAAAGTAAAATTTACTCTAATTTAATTTCCTTTTCTGATACACACATTGAAACATGTGGTCTTTGTTGCTTTCTTATACAGGTAGAAGAAAAATGGTGTAACAGGTACTCACAGAGTGGCCTTAGCAGCCATATGGGTGATGTAAAAGTCAAAGAAGCAAACGAACAACTTCTAGTTAGCAATTAATGAGTCACCATTGTGATTCTTGGGGTGCCTGTACTCATTGTCTTGACATGCACTCAAGAATCCCAGTGGGGACTCTTTAATTGTGAGCTAGGAACAAGTCAAGTTCACACCGTTTGCTTTCCACATGTGTAACGAAGCAACAGGACTTCAGCAAACATTTTAAAGAAGGGAGTAGTACTGAAATGCATATTTTGTTTCAAAATGCATACAAATATATAAAAGGAATGCAATTGTTTGAGCTCCATGACAAATCATAGATTGACACAGAAGTGTGACAGAGCAGGTCTATGAATGGACACATCTAAATTAACATGGACTGTGAATAAGTTAATCTGTTCATACCTTGTTATAACAGTTAGATATCCTGTATTTCAATTTTATATTTCTCTTTTGATTTTGCATACAGACTTGAGCACAGTCACTGAAAATGCCTTACCACTAGATCGTATTGAGGCTAAATTTTATGGAAAAATAAACACCAGCCACAGGGCTTTTTACCAAGAGAAAAGATTGACCCCCTAAAATACAGGCAGTGGCTTCAGAGTGTGACCTTTGTCAGTGTGAAAGTATGGGATAGCTGAGGTACAAAGAATGGTCTTCTGCACACAGAAAGTCCACCATTCAATTCCCAACATGTCCAATTAAAATGCTCAGTTAGGGTGAAAGACCATCGGCAAAGATCCTAAAAGCTGCTAACACTCAGAGAATACAATATTGAGAACAACAGTTTGAACAATACTGGTTAAGACGGTACTTTACTGACTTAATTTCCAAGTAGGGATGTACATACTCGCTGATAAAGAAAACCAGTGAGTTTTTGCTGTTATGCAGGAATAAAAACATCTCAGAGTACTCAACACTCCCCCTTTTTTGATGGCGTGTCTAGATTTGTCATGCTGTCTCATCAAGAATATTTTAAAATGTTCACTTTATCTTTATTATGAAAAAGGAATTTCTGCCTTTTATTTGCATGCTGATATCCTTTAAAATCCACATCAAAACATTCTAGCCTATTGAAATGAACCCTAAAGAAGGAGGTCATACAATGCTTCCAAAGTTGCTCCACATGTCTTGATTAAAATGTATGACTCTGCACAGAAATCGCACAACTAAATCTGCCCATAAATCATGTCGGTCAATTTTAATTTTTTTTCCCCACTCAGAGGTAAATATGTCTAGGTGAGCGCCTGATCAGGACTGGGCCCACCAAACATAGATAGGTAGTTTAAAGCCTACGGAACTTCAGCTGGCACATGTTGCCCTCCTTCCTTTTTGTAGCCCTTATATGTGTGAGGGCAAGGGGAGTTTAGGTGGAAAAGCTGGAGGAAAGTTAAAGCTCCCTTACCCATGTGCAATTACCCTAGCCCTATTTCCAAACAAAAGAAAACAAAAGAGAGAAGAAGGAAAAAGAGAAGGAGGGAAAGAAGAAGAAGAAGAATGTGCCCTCTTATCAAAAGTGGAAAACATTTCTGAGGGGGTACATTTAAGTGGTATGGTATGGGGGCAATGGCCATTTCAGTAGTGTGAGATCAAAAATGCTATCTTTCAGTTTAACTTTCTATTGCCAGTAACTAAGCCTGAGAGAGGCAGAATTGGAAGGGACTTATATGCAAGTCAAGGAAAAAAGGGCTAATCATGTGGTGAACCTTGGAGGGCTGATATGGTCACCAGGAGTGCTGAATTTGTCTCTAGAATCTGAGGCCTTAGTGATTTGATCAGGTCATTCAGGACTTCGTAAATTTATCATGATAAATTGTGTATTGAAACCATGGAGGTGAATGTAGCTGTGAGAATCTGAGGCCTTAGTGATTTGATCAGGACGTTTCTGAGTCCAGGTCATTCAGGACTTTGTAAATTTATCATGATAAATTGTGTACTGAAGCCATAGAGGTGAATGTAGCTGTACTGATATTGCACTTGGTGTGTCAGTAACAAAGAGAACGTATACTCCATACACAGATTAAGCTGCAGAACAAAGGTCTCATCTACACACTTGTGTGTGTGCAAAAACCTGAGATGGGACTGTGTGCTGCTGTCACATACCTCATAGAGATCTATCATCACGTTGCCCTCGGGATCTCGACTGCTCTTGACGTTTTCCAAAGCCAGAGTAAAGTAGATCCCTCGAGTATCAGAGATATAGAGGTTGTAAGTGTCATTCTGGTTCCATTCCTGCACTGCAGCCAATACCTGATTCTCATCAGTGCTGATAACGTGCATGTCCTGAGGGAGAAAGCACAGGGAAGTATCGTTGTCAGACATCTTACTTGATTCCGCTCCAAAGTCAAGAGAGGGTGATCATCTTAGAACCAGGCAGGCATTCATTCAGGAGTATAGTCAGTGACCAAAGTCAATCCACTTGCACGTGCACATGTATATTTTACACACTCTCTCTTCTACAAATATCTGCAGAGCCATAATGAATTGAGAACACATTAAAAGAACATTTACATAGGTGATAGTATTATACAGTAGCAATAGAAAATGAGTGTGCATTTTATAGGAAATGTAGAATATTAATTCTTTTTTATGCTCCAGCTGTGTGAGAAAATTCTACATTTAGGAGTCACTATGCATTATAGAAAGGAGCGCAAATGAACCATCCAGAGACACAGGGAATGTTATAGTAATAAATCAATTTATTTTCAAAAATATATATTTGATACATTTATATTCTGTCTTTTCTCCAACAAATTCATGCCATGGGTGGTTCTCTTCTTTATTCTCACAACAACCCCGTAAGTAGGTCAAGCTGACAAAACCACTGAACCATCCCAGTGAGTCTTCATGGATCAAGTACTTAACTGAGGGGGTGACAACATGGGTGTTTCGCCCACTATTTGGCCTTGGGACAGGCTGGTTTACTCATTTCACCAGCAATCAGATGACATCATTACTAGAGCAAACCAGCCCATCCCCACAGTGTTTTGACCCGCACCTTTATGGGTCCCTGTCAGGAGCTACTCTTTTGAAGGTGTGAATAGGTGAGTAGAATTGCTCTATTTTGGTTTGTTTCCCGCATGTGCGATCACTGGGATTGAATTAAAGTGGAGCTTCCTGTTTTAATTTCCCAGCTGGTTTCAATTTTCCTATATCATTAGTGGCTTAAACAGTCAGATTAGCTAGTTAATGATATTGGGAAATTAAAAATGTCCTTCCTCTATTCCTCCCTGAAGTGAGAGATGAAGCAAAGTTGTTGTTGTTGTTGTTTTTAAAAAATGATGCACTGTACCACTTAGATTTTTTTAATGAAAGTTTCTTCCTGGAAGCAGAAGAAGACAGAAGTGGGCAAGAAGAAAGACTTCTTTTTCTTTTCTTTTCTGAAGGGAAGTGGACTAAATAGGGTCACTTGAGGTGCATATGCAATGTGGATGCAAAGATCACATCTTATGACATACCAGACTTCTACTCAACCTTAAACAACCCTATTAAGCCTGTATTTGCCCACTTCAAATGTGCTCTGTAGCTATGTCCTCAGTTTCCTGAGTCTTAATCCAGCACTCCAATCACTATAACACACTAGACCTAGCAATCTAGTAGGCTGTGTGCTTGTCCTTGTAAACCTGCAAACTGAAATATAAATCATTGCTTGCCCTATTGCAGATCATAAAGATTCATAGGAAAACAAACCCAAAACTCTTGTGTCATTGTGGCATTTTTTGTTGTTGCTGTCATCCAAAATGTAAACTTACAATCACTAATTAATATATATCTGCTTTTCAGCACAGATGGCCTATCCCCATTTTTTCCTGACAGGTCTCTAATTATGTTATTGGTGGTGCAATCTGTACCTAAAGAATTATAAAACCAATTACAAATGCAAAAGCCATGTTTTCGATAAAGTTATAAGAAATAAAATGATTGCAATGGAGAAGTTAAGCCTAGAAAGCTCATGTCCAAAGCCTGTTTCAGATGTTTTCCTCAATGTGGTCAAACACTGCATGGAAGGGAGCTAGGCTGTGAACATTAGCCCCCACTCCAACATCCTCACCTTTGTTGGCTTCATGCCCTTTACACACTGAGAACAAAAGTCTGAACTGTGATTATTTATTGCACTCAGGAAAACATACTTAAAAACTGCCATACACCTAGATATGCCCATCACAAAGGGTTCACAGTTGCATAAAACATTCTCAGTGTTCAGTCAAACAAACAACAAGCCCGCCTTCAGATCTTTAACCTCAATATGGTAAGGCTGGATTGATGGAGATGGAGATATTGATAACAGGGCTACTAGGTATGATCCCTGTCCACCTCCATGAATTATTTGGACTTGTTTAAGTGAAAATCACTCACGAATCTGCCAAAGGCAGCCATTGGTTCAGCACAGCCAATATCTTCCACTTATACAATTAGAAAAAAATAGTGCATCTTTAGGCCAGAGGGCAGAGCTTCACAGCAAGTTATAAACCTGGCGCCTGTTGTTAGTAATTACCCACTAAAGCAGGGGTGTCCAACCTTTCACCTTCCCTGGGCCAAATTAGAAGATGGAAAATTGGTTTGGGCCGCACATACATTTGGTTTGGGCCGCATTGGGGGGCAGCCCTAGCCGTCCTCCGCAGGCCCACTCCAAGCACGCTTACCGGCAGCTGCGATCTCAGATAGCAGAGGCTGCCAGCTTTGACTCCGGCAGCTTTAAGGGGCCAAGAGGGCGTCCACCTATTGACAGCGATGGCGCAATGCAGTCACACAGCCCCCCTGTCCCATCCCCTCCCACTCCTCCCTTCCCTCTCTCCCCCTCTACTGTTGTGACATGCCCCGGCCACATTCTGGCCACAAGCGGCGGCAGTGTAACTTGAAACTTTGGAATTTCTTTTAAAATAAAAAATTGCACTGGGCCGCATTACGAGCTGACCTGGGCCACATGCGGCCCTCGGGCCGCGGGTTGGACAAGCCTGCAGTAAAGCTTTATTGGCAAGCATGACCTCAGAATCACACTTGGATGTAACAAATGTCACAGTTCGGCCAAAGAATGGCCAACCTTCCAGTGTCAGAATGCCTATCCACTTGACCCAGTGTTTCAAGACTGTGAAGGAAAGGGGAGAAAGAAATGGGCTTGCAAGTACAGTATTTTTCGCTCAATGCTCACATGTTGCTGAAAAACAGGATTTTCTCCTCCACTATGTATGGGCCTTGACCAGGCAGGGAATATTTTGATTTCTTGGTTGCTGTGCACTGACATGGGTTTTCTGCCACTATTTCCCATTCTTTATTCAGTCTACATATTACTAGCCTGAGAAATTGTCAGCAAACTTGTCATATGCAACAAATATGGCTCAGATGCACTACATAATGCGGCGCTTATTCTTTCTGTCATATTCAGTAGTTTGCCTGTTATTTCTGCTGGGTAAATCATACCATGAAACTATCTTCCAATTGACACAGAGAAGCTAAATATAGGGGATTTGGCGGGGGGAGCAGGGGAGAAGAACTCCAACACCATTATTTTCCCTCCCCCCAAAAAATAAACACGCCTCTTGCCTTTTGAAAGAAAATGAAGAAAAAGTTCTCTTCCAATTAGCGGACACCCCTCTGACATTGGCTGTGACATTTTTCCTATACATCTGCCTGCAATAACACTGCAACAGCCACTTTAAAAAATCCAGCACTCCAGGATAGTCAGCATTACCATGCAGTCCATCTCGCTGGCCTTTATGTCTTTCCAGAGAGAAAGAAAAGAGCAACATTGTGCACATGAATGAGGCTGGGTGATTCCAGGGAGCTAAAGGCCAAGCTTTCTGAACCACCAACACACTGATTGGTGGAACACGGCCTTTTGGCAAATCTAATGGCAGAAACACCATATCTGATTTATGATCTTAGCCAAAGCTTTTGTGACGGTCTCTCCACTCCCGGTCAAATTTGTGGGACTTTGTTCCTTCCATTGATGGTCAGCACTGTTGTCATCACAACTTACCAATTAAAAGTGGATTAGTGCAGATTCTTTCCATCATTAAAGACCTTGCAATTTTATAAATGATTCTGGCAGGGTAACAATGGTCAGGCATATGTGATAGGGTACATGTTATAAGCTTTATATGTAACACTCCCCTACCAGGCGGAATGGGTGTGAGATAAAAAAGAAAGCATGACAGAACGAGACCATACAGTAACATATTGATTTTAAGAATACTTTCATTCTTGAACCTCCATAGAGCTTATTATACCTGTTTAGGGACTGAGGTTTTGTAAACAATGCCTGCCAGATATTTTTAAAATGACAATGACAAAAGAATTTTTCCACATTATATGTAGATGAATGGTTAAAATGGCTGAATGTGTCCGTGATTTCAAAGAATGCCTACCTCTATTCAGGTGCATATATGAAACATTAAAGCTTAACGTCAGGAGAGGGTAGCTGTGTTGTTGCATCTGAGTGCAAGCCTTGACCCCTACTATTTTTTTAGGGATTTGCATGGTGAAAAGGTTTCATTTACACTTTTGGTGGGTGTCATTTCCTTTTGTGCAGTGGTCCTTTTGTTTGACACGAAAGGGATCACCACTTTTAAGTCATGTTATTATTTTATTTCCTCCACATGTTTTCTGGTGCTAACATTCTAAAATAACCATTCAAATGAAAAAGCACTACTCCAAAAAAGCAAAAAGGCAAGAAAAGAGAAAGTCAACTCAATTTACTAAAAAAGCAGACAACAGTACATGAGAATCATCACCATTAGACAGTAGGCAGCACTAATTTATATTATGGATTCATCATCACCGCCATCACCATCATCATCAGGCAAAAAATGAGAAAGAGAAATCACTCCACCAAGTCACAAAATTCACCCTGACCTTCAAGAAGCAAACAAAAGAGTCCCCCCAAACACTTACCAAAACACACACTTTTAAAAGAATACATGCATTGCAAACTAAACATTTTAAAATCAAACAAACAGGGGCAATGAAGTGAATAGAACATAACAATAAAAAAAACATATACATAGCACCCTCTCCCATAAACTAAGAAAAGGAAGCAAATAAATAAAGTGGTGGATAAAGCCAATCAAAGTTCCCAAAAAGTTAATAGAACATTGGGAGGTTTCTCTCCTCCTTATTATTTGATGATTTCTTTCCTTGCGTCCAGCAGCCAGGCAACGCACAGCCCAATACAAGATGAAGGGCAACAGGAGCTAGCACAAAAATTTTCCACAAGAATGACTGAAGCAAAGCATGAAATCATTTCCCTCTTCGGGTCCCAACCAATCCAGGCCTTCTTACAGGTT